CTGGGATGTGGATCAGGCTTCAGTGTCCAAGATTCCGGCACAGTCAGGAGGACTAGGCAGGTGGTGGGAGCGAAGCAGGTAGGGTGGGATTTTCACACAGATGGACTGTGAGGTCATAACAATGGATCCCAGGGCAGAAGCCATCTGTTTGTCTGTCTGCCCTCTGCACCAGTTTTATGCATCTTGGCTAATGTGAGCAGATGGTGTCTGGCCAGGTGTGTGCTGCCACCAGGGAGACCAGCTGGACCCCACAGGTGCTGGTGATGGTGGGGCCCTAGCAAAGGTGCGGCCCTCCAGTGGACGCCACATCTCTAAGTCCTGCTCAGCTTGCAGGGCTGCCCAGGCCAGAGCCACGGCCCAGGCAGGGAGGAGCGATTCTTTGCTATGGGGTCAGTGTCTCTTAACTACCCACTGGCAGATTCCCTTTCACACCACCTGCCGGGCACAGAAGGCCCTCAAGTGTTAAAATAAATGAGTGACTACAAACTCTAGTAGAGGTGTCCAACCCGTGGCTTGTGGGTCGCATGTGGCCCCACATGGCTATGAGTGCGGCCCAACACAAAATCGTAAATTTACTTAAAACATTATGAGATTTTTTTTTGTGATTACATGTCACAATGTATTTAATGTGTGGCCCAAGACAACTCTTCTTCTTCCAGTGTGGCCTAGAGATGCCAAAAGGTTGGACACCCTTGCCTAAGGGATGCAGATTGACAGGACCAGGTCTTCTTTCAGCCTTGACCTTGACGAGGACCTCTGCTCCAAGAGTGGTCACTAGAAAGAGTCATATGGGAAACCGGGTGAACTGAAGTACAAGAGGTCTCTTTACTTCGCCTTCTAACGTACGCTCAGTTACACTGGGCATTCAGGATGAGAGCGGAGCATGTAACACTCCCTGAACTCATTCACCCATGGAAACCTTTGCCAGGAGATTTCTACCAACATCTCACGGGATAAATGTTCCACAGAACCCAATTTTGGGAACACCTCCTGTAGTTTCCCATGTTTCCCCGTACTGCTCTGCAGGGCAAGCCCTCTGCTGCCCAGTCCCTCCCACACCACCTGCCCATTCCCACTTCCGTGCACTTGCTTGTGCTGTGCCTGCCCCAGAAATGCCCTCTACCTGTCCATATTCTCTCCACCTTAAGTCCCATCCATCCCACAAAGTCTTCCAGAGGCCCACAGTGTGACTTAACCACTAGCTGTTGTAACCTTTTCAAATAGACTGCAGCTGGCACGTGTTACTTCTTTGTGTCCCCCACAGCATAGCCCTGGCCGGGCAGGTGGCACTTCAGGAGTCCTCACTTGGTCAGTTCAGGCCATGGCAGGTGTGCAGACTGGCTACACCTGTGGACAGGTGTGGGCGATGCCTCCTGGCCACCTTCTCTCCTCTTCAACCCCTGTGCCAGTCCATCAGATGTAAAGCACACACTCCTCAATGCACAGAGAAATGTTTCCCCCTCTGGAACTTTGCTCCCTTCCTCTGCTTCTTAATATGCAGGGAGCATGGCCAAGAGGGAAGGACCCCCCTGATCTATTTACATGTTCTCTTCCTCCGTAGGGCAACCAGTGGCATTTTCTTATTTAATTATTAATGTCCTAAATCAGATGGTGCCCAGCACATTAACCTCTGTCACTCCAAATGGAGTCGGCCTAACAGCCGCTGTGGCAGGATTGATTTTCCCTCAGTCATTGCGTAAGCATCTGTCTTTGGGACCCATCCTCTGAGAGAGCCTGGGGAAGCCCCATCGAAGTTCATGGCCATGAGTTGCCTCCACGAGGGGAACAGCTCCCCTTTGTCTGCTCTTCTCGCTGCCTCCGTGACATGTCTGAGACAAGAAGAAAAACGTTTTTTCTAAAATTAGTTCCCGAAAAGAATTGACTAGTTCAGCTTAGGACCCGACCCCACCTTCAAGACGCTTACAGACACATTGGAAAGATTAAGTAAACGCTCGAGAGAAAGATGTCACTGCGAGATAGGGAGTGATAAGGGCTGGCTGGGCTGTGTGCTACTGAGTGATCGTGCCTGGGGAGGGAGGGGTAGCCTGAGCTGGACCTCCTGTGGGTGTTATTTGGGTATGTGGAGAGGAAGAAGAAGGGGATTGAGGACCCCCTCCAACAGTGTGAGCAAGGTTGGAGGTAAGGGGTGGGGTGGAGAAAGCAGGAAGGAAGACGGGAAGAAAGACCAGAAGACCAGCCTGACCAGGAAGGATGGCTGGTGATGAGACTACAGACTGGGCCCAGTTCAAAGAAAAAGTCTGAGGGCTGGGGGACATCAGAGAGGAGCCATCTCCTACCCCTCAGCCGGGCGTCCTCCTCCCCCTCCCCCCTCCCCCCTCCCCCCGCCACACCGCTGCAGAGGCAGTCTGGGACCCAGGTGGGGAGCTCTGCAAATACTCGGATGGGACGGTTCAAGGCCAGGGTGGGACTCCTGGGGAGCCCCTGTGCCCTGTAAGCCTTAACACACTTAGACCGTTGGTCTAATTGCCACCAGCGGTGTCCTTGTGTGCCCTTGCCCATCTCCACGTCCTGTGTGCTCGTCCAAACACCCGCCGTCCTCTCTGTGTTCCAGGTATCCCACTGCCAGGGGGTGTCAGCTAAAATGTCTCAAGAGTCCAGGCCTGATTCTGAAAGAAAGAGGTTTTTATGAAGATTTATCATAAAAAGATCTTCCCAGTTATAGCAATGATCCAAGTTACCGCCATCTCCCACCCCTTCCCTGTCACCACAGATCAAAAGAGGCCAGAGGAACGATGTCCTCTTGTCCAGGTGGCCTCATCCTTTGATGTTCTAAGCTTTGTAAGTTAGAAGATGCAGGTGGGGGTCCTTTCAGGAGAATACTGGAGGTGCCAGGAGCGGCCAAAGTAACAAGACAGCGCCATAGAACCAAGAAAAGGCATTCTCTGCAGTTGGCATTCAGACTCCTCGCCTTTCAGAGTGTGGTGTCCCTTTGTTTATATTTTTAAACTTGATTTATTTGATGCCTGATCAGCCCAAACCCCACCTGGAAGAATACGCTCATCGCCAAAACCCAAGGATGCAACCTGGGGAGGCTCTTTCTCCTCCCGGCGGCATCTCCTCTTTGGGGAGAGTGGGTTGAAATGACCTGCAGCCCGAGGGCTGTGCAGACTCCAGGCTGTGGAGGGCGCTCCGTGGTCCTAGGGCTGGCTGTGGTGAGGAGGCAGGGACAGGTGTGGCTGTGGCCTGCGCGCTCCTGGATCTGCAAATGGAGTGGAAACACCAGGATCGAGTTTCTCTTTCCTAACTGATTTTCAGAGCACACTTAGCCAGGTTATTTCCAGTTTTCAAATAGAGAGGAAAACCTCATTATTTATTAATTTGGACCCCCATGGCTTTACAGAATCGGTGACATTTGTTTATCTTTGAAGGAGCTGCTAAGAAAGGGTTTAACAAGGAAATTATTACTGGGGATGAGGAGGAGAGCGGTGAACCTTTCACAAAGACGGGAGCTCCGTTCAGCTTCCCTCTGGGCGCACAGGGGGCATGTGCGACACGCACGGCGTCCTCCTCTGTCCCCAGCAAGGGTGAGCGCTTCCTCACCTGTGAACTCGGGGCCCACGAACTGGAAATCATCAACCTCATTTCAAGCTGGGGACCCCTTTACAATGTCCAAATATTTTCAGTACTATCCCTACCCCCAGGTTAAAGAAGTTGCTTTATTTTTTTAATTCTCACCCAAGGATATATTTATTGATTTTAGAGGTGGGGGCGGGGGAGAGAGACAGAGAGAGACAGACAGAGAGAAACATCCATTGGTTGCCTTCTGTACGTGGCTTGATTGGGGATTGAACCTGCGACCTTTTTGGTGCATAGGATGATGCTCCAACCAATTGAGCCACCTGGCCAAGGCTAGAGGTTGCTCTATAGTGTGGCAGATTGTAAAGAAAAGCTGCTTTGAATTCAGTAAAGCTTTCAATCAAAGCATGAAAGCATCTATGCACACATGAAAAATAATGCCATCTTTCTCCATCGCAGTGTCCAGTCAGTCTATAGCCAGTGTATGAGCACATAGGAGTTCCGGGTCCCCAGGTGGCTCTGGGGCCCCCTGTACCCTTACTCGGTGGGAACCCTTGGGCAGTCCTCTAAGGCTGTAGGACCACAGAGTCCTGTGTTGCTGGGACAGGAAGCAGCCTCAGGGGTCATTTCAGCCACTTCTCTATGAAGAGTCTTTTTTTGAGGAAATCCCCAGTGTAGGGGACCAAGGCTGTTGGCATTCTTTGCAGGCACACTTAACACCTGTCACAGGCTGTCACTGTGCAGGGTGCTTCCTTGAAGGCCCCTACCAGGCTGCCCAAGCCCTTCACTCCATGGTGGGAATGACATGCGGTGACTTACATCACTCTGGCTGTCAGTGACTTTATATCTCATAGAAGCAAGAGAAGTGAGGTGCACTTTCTGGGTGGCTTATGTGACCAGAGCTTCCTGGAAGGGTGTTCTCAGCCAGTTCCCGCAGGGCCACACCAGACACCTTTCCTCTCTTTCTTCGAGGCAGGAGGGGGAGTAGGGAGAGGAAGTGAACAGGAATGGGCAGAGTGCGGAACAGAGGGAGGGTGTCACCTTTAAAGTAGTTAAATCAAGGGTTCCTACTCCAAGGATGCACTCAGAGGCCTGAGAGCACGCTGAAATCATAGCCACATATTGTATGTGGGAGCATTTTTCTGGGAAGGAAGTCTCTAACTTTCATTAGTTCTCAAAGTAGTCTGTGAGCCAAAAAACTTTCAGAAGCCCTGGCTTAAAATGGTGACTTTTCCCTGAGTCAGGCTTCCTCCTCCCTGGTTACTCAGAGCCTGTGAAGTGTTACCATGTTAGTTAAAGACCGCAAGTGTAAAAATATCAAATGCTCATTACACGGCAATGATGGGAAACTTCGTCTGCTTAGCCAGTCTGCTTAGCCAATTCAAGTGAGAAGTCTCAGCGCCAAACAGATGCCTGGGAAGCCAGGCTGATTAATGACGCTGCCTCTTTGTTCTCCTGCACAGGGCCCGGGATGGCACTCTCAGTGACAGGGCTCATAGTCTTCTCCCTCCTGCAAGCCGTCCTCTCTTTGAACCCCGAGGACCCCAACGTGTGCAGCCACTGGGAGAGGTAAGATACGGGTCTCAGATGGCCAGGGACTCTCTGAGGACCTCACCTGGGCTTCCCACTGTTGGTACAAAAGCAGAGGCAAGAGGTTTAGAAGTTGTGCACCAAGGGCCTGCAGTCCAGCTGGAGAGACAGCCCGGATGCTGACAGACAGGACAAAGCAGTATATAGATTCTGTCTGCGGCAGCGTGGTGGGAGGTCAGAGTGCAGGGGCTGAGTGACAGGCAACTTGAGTGATGCAGTCTGATAGTCGACAATGTACTCATGCTCCTCCCTGCGTTCCCACTTCCCAGCCACTTTACAGAGGAGGAAGGAGGGGCCCCAAGGGGCTCAATGCCCATCCACAGCCAGGTGGGGTGCAGTGAGTTGTTCTGGTCCAGATGTGTTGCTCTCTGATGCTGTGATGTCTTTCCTGGTCTCCCAGGACTGGAGACAACGCAGCATCTTGGACATGTGGGCGGTCAGCAGCCTGCCCTACCAGGGGTGGGTGGAGGGCCCTGCTGCTTCAGATTTAGCGGTGGTCAGAGGACCACCAGGGGAAGGGCAGCTGAGGGCAGAGGCCGATGAGCCAGCTGCTGCACTGGGTCCTGGGGGAACAGGCCCAGGCCCTGCAGACAGCCTGACTTTGAAGCACAAGGTTAAAGTATTGATTTGGGTGAGCAGAAAGACAGTGACCAGAGACCCAATCAGGAAAAACCGAATTAAACCTTGGAATTGATTGGCCATGCTGACCAGGCCAACTCTGCCACTTAGATGTTAATAAATCAAATGAATAAAATTGAGATGAGGGCCCGATGGGGGAAGCAGATGGTGGAGGACAGGGGAGGGGGAGGGGGCGTCCGTGCTCCCTGCCCATGAGGGTGAGTGTCCCAGTCCCACCACAGGGAGAGGTGCCGCGTCCAGGGCCCTGGAGGGACTGGCTGGGGAGGCGGAGGGACAGTGCCTGCACCAGCATGGTTTTTAGTGACTGGTGCTCTATGAGGAGTCCCTACAGAGCCGAGGCTGGAGCAGAAGGCCTAGGTCCCTTTTGGGGGAAGCAGGAAGAAGATGAGATCTATGATGAGTAGACCTTGGTTCATTCCAGTTTGGAGTTTTTTCAGTTGTTAGTTCTATGATTGGGGGATGTCTCCAAACCACTCTGAGCCTGCGTCCACCTCTGTAAAGTGTAAAGCTAATGACCTCTGCCTCCCAGGCTTGCTGGAAAGTCAGGGAATCAGTTTCACCAAAGTGCTCAGTCATTGCCTTTCCTTGTCGCCAGCTTGGGCTTTGGAGGAAGTGGTCATCACGGATTTTGAGGCACACCAGGCTCCTGGGAATGTGAGCAAAATGCTGAGTCTCCTGGGTCCTGGCCCGAGAGACTCTGACCCCACTGGTCGGGGGTAGAGCCTGGGAACATGTGTTTTTCACAAGCTTTCCACATGATCGTGAGGTGATCCAGGGCCCTTGGCCTTCTTGTTTTGTCAATTTAAACCTTTCTTTCCCAGTGGTGAGACAGAGATCAGGTGTAATTCCATATTAGTCTCCGGTTTTTGGACTCCAGTCTCGTCAACCCTGTCTCGTCTGCCTGTCCCAGTTGAGATACAGTCACTTCCTGCCCCTGTCTCTGCTGTACCCTAACCCCAAGCACACCCCCTTCCCTCTGATCACTTCTGCCTTTCCTACTGCCTCCAGCCAGGTCCCTCTCCTCCAGGAAGCCCACCCTGACTTCCTTCTTCTCTGGGTCCCATTTGCACCAGTGGATCAGTTCAAACATAAACAAAACTCTCTGAGTTTCTAGACCTGTCCAATGTGGATAAATTTGAAATGTGAAAATATTCTGAACCCAGCCTGTACAGAGCTGGCACTTCAGGTGGACGGGCTATCAGCTGAGTATTTAGCTTTGATGGGAGAACACAGGGGGACCCTAGCAGCTAAAACGAGGTCTGGGGATCCCCTGGGCTTCTTTAGCCCCCAGGGAGGAGGCCTGGCCATGAGGCCCCTGTGATACCAGGACCCTCCTTTCTCTTGGCTTTCCCAGCTGAGCCAGCTCTGCAGAGATGGGTCCAGTCTGTCACTCCAGAAACACACCCTGGTCCCTGGAGACCGCTGAGGGAGACTCTCCGATGGGATTAGTGCTTCTGCCGGCTCCTCGTTAGTTACACCCCTCCACGGTAAAAATCCAATGGAAAGACCTCCCCTGGCTAGTAAGGCCCAGCTCTACAAGATTCATCTGGCCCCTCATTAGCGTGTTGGCCAATGAGCATGTTAAGCCGTCAAGCCATGAAACCGGAGGCACACACTTCACCCCAGACACTTGGAGTCAGTTCAGGGTCTCGGTGCCAGGTCTGCTTGGCTCAGGGCGTCCCTGCAGAGCCAGCTATGGCCCCATGACACCACCCTGCCCCCACTGTTGGGACGGTGCCTTTTCTCTGAACAGCCACTGTCCCCCTCAGTTCTGGGGGGGGTGCCTGAACCCTCAAGTGCTTAACAAAGGCAGTGAGTCCATGCTACGTGTGGGTCTCGCTCTGTCTCCCCTACCATGGTCTGGGAAGAAATGCTCCTCAGTGCCTAGCACAGGAGGTAAATTGTTGTCAGTTTTGTAATAGTGATGGCCAGTTTCTATTAGTCATTTCCTGTGTACCTGTTAATCATTTCACACGTATTATCGTCCCACCGCCCTGAGATACAGATACTGCTATCGCCCTCCTTAACCCTCACAGTAACTACATGGAAGCCCTGGTGATATTCAGCACAGATTTACAGGTGAGGGGATGGAGGCCTCCATGAGTTTCACATGTCTAAGGACATGCTGTGACAAGTGGCAGGGTTCAGCCTTGACCCAGATCCCATGTACTCTTATCCATTCATTCTCCTGCCTCTAGGTGAAGTGTCGGAGCACAGGGTCATGGAATTTTGGAGTTGAAGGGGCCTTCAGGAAGCTAGGGTGGGTGTGGAGCTGCCTCAGTTTCCCCAAGCCTGGAGATAAAGCAGAGCTTTGGGCCGTGTCTGCATGGATGTGTGCCTCTGAGGCACACCTGGCCGGACGAGGCTCACCGAGGGCCCTCCTACAGCCTCGGTGCTTCGGAGAAACAGTGTTCCCCCCGCCCTGACTCCCTCCTGGGGGTGGCCAACTGCTCCTGGCCTCCTTCTGAATTCTAGACCTTTGCCATTTCTGGCATCTGAGGGCCTGCTGTGGACATAGTCAGGGAGCTGGCCTGCCCAGCCCTCTTGCAAGTAAACCAACAATTTCCTCAGGCAAAGCAGACGGGCTTTTATAGCCTGGACCTGGCCATCTGGCCGAGGTCAATGAGCCTTCTGGGGGAAAAACACTGAATAGTACCAACATACATAAAAATCCTGAAACCTCAGCCTACATCCTCTCCCAGCCTTCACAGGAAGTGTGAGTGTTTGTTTATGTCCCGGCTGGGCTGCCTTTTCCTACAAATCCTGCTGGGGCGGGCAGGTGCGAAGGCTTGTTTTCATGAAGGTGAGACCTGCTTCCGTGTGGCTTCCACTCACTGGTCCAGGGTTACAGCTAACAGGCAGGGAGATGAGCTATCACTTTGATCGGCAGGCCTGGGGCATGTCCTCGATGTGCCCCCAGCTACATAAGAGACGTAGTATCAGGGCAGGGGTAACGTGACTTTGGGGGAGTCACTGATCCTCTCTGATGCTCAGTTTTGTCATCTGTGAAATGAGGATATAGAAATGCCACCTACCTTGTAAGATTGTGTGAGGACTAAAAGGGCTTTAAACACTGAAGGCAGAACACTTGCTACATATTGGCACTTATTCCTACCAGCCGTGTGACCTGGGCAAGTCTCCTCTCTCTGAGCCTTAGTTTCTTCATCTGTAAAATGGGATCACTTACTTCACAGAGTTGCTACAAAGATTAACTTCCCTCAGGTGTTTTGAAAACCATTAATGATATAAACAACTGTTTTAAAACTTGTTGGCTCTGCTTTCCAAAACCAGACAGAATACCCCTAAACCCTCCATTATTCTCTCTGTTAATTGAACAAATGAACTAGAATTTCAGAAAATGAGCTGGGCTAAAGGGCAGTAAGGCGTATGTCCTGGATCCAGCCAAGTATCAGGCAGGTTTGAACTCCAAGGGCAGGAGGAAGAGAGTGGGGTGGTGGGGAGAGGGGATGTGGGAGCCCATGGACAATTTGGCCATGCCTGGCTTCCCTGGGGAGGGAGACCCATCCTGAACATCAGCTCAGCCTCCCCCGTGCTGATGACAGCTTCCATCTCCTGTCTGGTTCTCAGCTATGCCGTGACTGTCCAAGAATCATACGCACACCCCTTCGACCAGATCTACTACACACGATGCACAGACATCCTCAACTGGTTCAAGTGCACCAGGCACCGGTGAGTACTCACAGATGATGGGGCAGGAAAGGGTGCTGGGCCCTCAGGGTTTGCCATTCTGTCACTTAGTAAAAGGCCCCTGTAGCAGCTGTGGTCAGTGTATCCTATATCCCCTTGGTACTCACCCTTCACACTGACTCCCCGAGATGCTCTGATGAGGGCTTCTTTCTGGCCAGAGGGGCTCATGGGCAGGGCAGTCCAGGCCAGAAGTGGCAGATAACTGATGCCTTTGGGGTCATTCCTCCACCAGGAACAGATGCGGTTTGTGGGTGAATACCCCAGCTTTCTTTCCCTGATAATACAGGGCCCAACTCTGACTGTGTTCACACTGTATCCCAGAGTAACCTGCTCAACAGCACACCCTAGATTGGCTGCCTTTATTTCCTCGTCTCACTTTCCCATCCCCCTCCTCATACTTCCTAGGATTACCTCCTCAATAAACTACTTGTCCTTGAATCCTTCTTTCAGGTCTGCTTCTTGGGGGAAATCCAACCTAGGACACTCCCCACCCCCACCTCCACCCTATCCCCCTGCTCAGAGCAGATGTAGCCTCATGCCAGGGCATCTGGCTTGGAGAACAGAGCGCAGGCTGGAAGTCAGGGCCCTTTCAGCATCTGAATGGCTGTGCGTGGGAATCCCGCTCTCTTGCGTCAGCCCCCTGCAAACATGACATGCTCCTATGTCACTAGGGGAGAGAGGAGATGAAGGAAGAGAGAACATGTTTTGTTGGATGATTCTGGGCAAATCACTTTATTTTGCAATTCCCATGTACTCATCAAACATAGACTGATCCTTGCCTTTCCTACCTGCAAGGTCCAATGAGGTCCGGAATGTGAAAATACTTTGAAATACTTTTCAAAGTATTTGAAGGGGAGAATGGAGGAAAGTGAGGTATTAGGCCCAGGAAATGTGGAATTACTAATTGAGGATTTGAAAAGCCAGCAGATGAAGAGTAAATGAGGGATTGAGTGAGAAGCCACCTCGAAGGCTCATTTCCTAGTTGCTGAGCATCTGTGTTGGTTCCCTTGCTTCCTCCTGTGGGTCTAGTACCAGGAATCGTGGATGGTAGCAAGTGGACTGGGAAACTTGCTCTATACTGAAAAGCCTAAGTCCTGGTATTATTTGGGGTTTTGCTAGTAACTTCCTGTGAGACTCTGAGCCTAGATATAATAACCACTTAAAATTTCTTACCTGCTAATCCAACACCTGGATCATCTCAGGGTTGGTCTTCATTGGTTGTCTTTTCTCTTATGTGGGTAATATTTTCTAGTATCTTTATATGTCTAGTAATTTTGAATTGTATGCTAGGCATTGTGAACAATGGAGACAGTAAAGACTGGATTCTATTTTGTTCCTCCAGAGCATATCAATTTGTTGTTGCTTGCTTGTTTGTTTTACCAGTCCATTAACTTGGCCAAACTCAATTTTCAAACACTGAAAGTTCAATATTTTTAGCCTTATCTGGACTGTTTGGAACCTGCTCTCCACAACATTATTCAGGGGCCAGAAGTGTGGGCATAGATTTTACCAAGAATACGGCTTCCTCTTTGTGGTTTTCTTCTTTCTGGGGTTTCCCTTTTCACTTTTTAGTTGTTGGGTCCACCCTGGACTTGTCTTGTGGTTCTTCAAAACAATAAGGTTGCATGTCTTCTATCTGAATTTTAGCCGTCTGGAGTATTTATTGTTGACTGGGGTCTGCCCTTGGACTACCCTTGCCTAGTGTCATTCCCTTCTTCCAAGTGTCTACTCCCCTCCAGCATCTACCTTTGTGCTCTCTCTAGTGCCTTCAGGTAGTTGTTTTTTACATTTTCTCCAGATTGTATCACTGTTTGCAGGGGGGTTGGGCTAACAGGGGCAACTCAGCCATTAACACAGCCCCTTCCTCTAGCCCTTGGCTGTGAAATGAGGAGCTGGGACCAAATTCCTCCTTCCAACTCCCCCAGTTGTGCCACGATAGCTGCCTGTGGCCCGGGTCAGAGGCAGAGGCCTGCTCTCTCTGTGAGCCTGTCAGGCTCTGTGCCGGAGCTGAGTTTGCTCTGAGGCATGGCTTTGCTGGGTACTTGGAGGCTGGGCTGCCGTCCATCACTGCTGGGGAAGGGTGAGTGAGTGGGTGCTTATTAAAATAGGCTGCATTCCTGGAACATGAATTATTTTGCTAAATTATTGAGTCGCCTTGCAGCCTTCCTGATGACCCAGAGTGTGCACGCTGACAGCTGCACCATCAGTCTGCCTCCGTGTGGAATGCCTTGTTTGAACACAGCATCATTCTCCCAAGAGCAGCCTGGCCCCCGGCTCCTTCCCCCTCCTGCTTCCCACCCCAGCTCTGGGAGCAAGCAAGGATGGGAAAGCCAGAAGCAGTGAGGCATCTCTCTTCTGTGAGGCTTTAATGATGTCAAAACCACCACCCCATTGGAGTGCTAGGGGAGAACCCTGTTTGGTGGGATGAATGGACTGGATGACCTCTGAGTCATCCCCAAGTTGTTCTTTATCTGAGAGGCTAATACCACCCCCGAAATAGCCAGGAGCTGCCTCCCTGTGCCGGGAGAGTAGCTTCACTTTGAGGTCAGCTTACCTTTCATTATGGGCTTTTGACAAAGTAGAATGACCTTAGTTTACAACATTCCCAAATATCACAGATCTCCCCCGAGTCCCACACTGTCATTTGTCATAAAGAGAGGGCTTTACGGACTGGGAGCCTTTGTGGTAGGACTCCCTTCCCGAGTTGGCCTGGCCTGGCCCTCCATGGAAAGCAGGCCTTCAGCACCTCCGGTGACCCATCCCTGCTGCTCTGTCCCCTGAGGAGGGGTCCACAGGGCAGGCTGCCCCGCCCCACATGCTGCAGCGGGAGGCAGAGAGCTCTGGCTTCAAGGCCCAAGGACTTGGAGTTGAGTCCTACTTATATGACATGACCTTGAGAAGTTACTTTTTCTTTCTGGCCTTTGATGACCATTTCAGATCACCTCCATTTTGACCCTAGGTGTACGGAAGGAACTTTGCCTTTAATATCCCATTGTGACTCCCTCTTGCCAACTCGGCCTCACACCTACCCTGTTATTATGGCCATCCCATCCATCCAACACCCCCCCACCCCCCGCGGGAACTAGCACATAGGTGAGGCCTAGTAGCTTTGAAATAAGACTGACTCGGGTTTGAATCCTGGTTCTGAAACTGTTTAGCCGTGTGACCTTGAGCAAGTCATCAACTTCTCTGATTTTTGGTTTTCTCGTCCATGGAACAAAATGGGAGAAGGGGTACATAAAATAAGTAAGAATAAAAACCCTAAAAAAGAAAGAAAAGAAAGGGGCGTAATGAATCTACCTGTCACAAGGAGGGAATGGAATGAGACTTTGCCTATCAGCCGCTCTGGCACAGGGCGACATCTCAACACCCCTGTCAGCACAAGAGCTGGAGCCCAGGTCTCTGACGGCCAGTCCAGAACTTCCTCTGCCCTCTGGGCCTTAGCTTCCTCCTCTGCAGAGCCAGGTTTTGTTCTGAGCCTTCCCAGGGACGGCATGCGAAGCTTGTCCCCAGGAGGTGTTAATTTTGGTGTGGGAGAGATTAACTTGCCTCTGGGACTGAGTCAGACTCACAGGGGCCTTTTGGTGAGTGTGCTTCAGTTCTCCATGTGGGCGGACTGAATTCCTGGGGGCTTAATCAGTCTGCTTGTTGGGTGGTGGCAGTGGGCATAGAAACGCCCATCCAAGTCACCCCTCAGGCCCCTGCAGCCCCAGTCTGGAAGTTTTAAGAAGTCCCCAGTTGTCCTCCACAGTGTCACTCCAGACAGTGTCTTCTGCAACCTGTCTAAGTGTCACTCTGAAGAGAGCGGGGAAAAGTCAGCAGGTGTAACAAACGCCGTGCCATTCTGTGTCACAATAGCCCAGATCCCATCATCGATTGTTCTTTATTGTGTCCCTTCATATTCGAAGCCACCACGCATTTTAAAGTAATTATTGAATGGCATCCTCGATATCGCTTAACACAAATATCATTCTAACAGGAGGGATGGATTTTCAATACTTTCAAGTGGCTTTCTCCCTTGTGCCTTAGGATCAGCTATAAGACAGCATATCGGCGTGGCCTCCGGACCATGTACCGGCGGAGGTCCCAGTGCTGCCCTGGTTACTACGAGAACGGAGACTTCTGCATACGTATGTAGGGGCTGTCTCTGTTCTGGCCTCAGTGGGCATGGGCGGGCAGGGAAGGGGACCCAGGGGAAGAGAGGTAGAGCTGTCATCCAGGCCTTGGGCCGCAGGTCTCAGCTGACCTGAGGACTCCAGAAGTCCCTGCCTGCTGCCAGCTTGGAGGGAAGAATGGGTCGAATGCAAATATGTTAGCACACATTTGTCTAGATCAGCCTCCTAGAAGGTTGATGGGAGCAAGTCAGGACTAGGCTTTGAAGGGGTCAGGAAAGAAGTGGACACTTCTGGAGTAGGTTGGGAGCAGTGGGAAAAGTGCCAAGTGCTCGGCACAGACCCGAGGTGGTCATAGGTGCTCAAGAAGGTTTTCCTGGATGGGCGGGGAACTGAGTGGAGAGATGAATGGATGGATGGGTGAGAGGAAGGAAGGCAGGCTGGGTTATTGGATGGCAAGACCATGGTACCTAGAAGGAGAATGGCAAGAGTAAGACATCGCAAGGAACCTGTTCCAGGAAGGGGGAGGGTTTCCAGAAAGGATTGGAACACACCAAAGAAAAAGTGGGTTTGTGAAAGACACTCGTTACCTCTTTCCCTTTTTGTCTGCAGTGGCTCAGAAAACTGAAACCTTTGTGACCTTTGTGTCCCCAGAGAGACAGGGGCTGACGTGCTGGCAGCTGCAGGCCAGGCCTTCTGGGTGGGGGGCAGCATGGTACAGGGGGGACACCGAGGAGTGAGAGCCTGCACATCAGGATTTTGTACTCAGCTTTCTAGGCATGCAGTTTGGGGCCAGTCACCGAACCTCTCCGGGAGACTGGTTTGGGGCCCTGTTAGAGTCTAATGGGCTCTTTCCTCACTCACCACTGACCGGTGGAAGGGACCAGTCTGGGGCTTCCCAGTGAACACTGGAAGATTCCCTCAAATGCAGGAGACTGTCAGAGAAGCGGGGAGGCCCCTGTTTAATTACTGAGAGAGGAATCTGCCCCCACAGCTTCTGCCCCTGCGTTTGGAGGCAGAGCTGAAGAGTGACTTTCCTTGTTAGTATTCTCCTTGCCATCTGGATGGGTAGAGCGAGGGAGCACCGGAGAGAGAATCTGGGCAGAGTGGGCGTGTTGATGTTGGGAATGAAATGACAATTTTCCTCTACTGTTGTTACATCTCCCCTAATGCCAGAGAAATTCAATTCTAATTGCATTACAGGAATGAATGAAAAATGCTCCGGCAAATGGGGTCAATACTGATGGTTTTGCAGGAAAAATACAAAGATACTCACTCAAAGCAAACTCAGAAAGCATTGCAGAGGGCTGGGCTGGGCTAAGCCTTGGTTACTACATGGGATGTGTGGAAGCAAGGTCAGGACCAAGGTTTTACTGCCACCTCTCTGTTTGCCTGGAGTGGAGTGAGGGTCAGGCTGGTGGTGGAACTGGGAGCCATAAAGCCCAAGCAGGATGGAGGTGAGCAGCCCTTTCGAGCTCAGGACACACAGTGATGGACTCAGAGAAGTTATAAAGGGAGCTCAGACATCAGCATGGGGCTGCGGCATAGATGAGCACCTTCCCTTTTTAATTTCCACTCGTGGGTGTTGGTCAGGCTCCTGGGAAATGAAGAGCAGGGCAGGAGTGCTAAGTGTCCTGGTTGCACAGGCTCAGTCTTGCTGACGGGGAAGGCAGCTCATGACCTGCCACCTCCTCCTTACATAACCACCAGGCACCGCCTGCCGAGCTGGTGGCCACAAGCAGGTCTACCCAGGAAGCCAAGCTCGAAAAGCTACTTTCAGGACTGAGGGCTTTTCCTAGGAGGCAACAGGAGGGTTTCCGCAGTGAGATGGGGCATGGTGGCATGCGGGGTGCTGCTAGTGATGGTAGAGGCAAGAGTCACAGAGGCCCAGGGTGCATCTCAGCTCTGCCACCCACAGCTTCTTCCTCTTTATCCTCCTCAATATCAGCTGCAGAGTCCACACACGTGCCAGGCACCATTCTAATCTCCTTATATCCATCAGCGTGTCAGCTCCTCACAGCAGTCCTGTGAGGTCGGGACCCTGGTTACAGGTGGGGAAACTCAGTCATGGAGCAGTTAGTAGCTTGACCAAGACCGTCACTTGTTAGCTGTGTGATTTTGGTCGATGTACTTAATCGCTGTGACTCAGCCAGAACTGGAATTTGGCCCCAGAGTCTGCCCCAAACCACTTGGAATAGGCAAGGGACCACCTCTCTGAGCCTCAGTTTCCACCCATGTGAAATGAGGATAGTAAGGCCTAAATCAGGCACAGGGGAGGGGCTTAATAAATTTCAGCTCCCTTCTCCATGGCTTTGGTCTTAACATTTTTTTAGTCTTGGCTCTTACTTTAATTCCTCAGAGACCCATGCACCCTCTCCCTGGGGAAATGCACACTGCATACATAAACCTATACATACACATGGCTTTTTGCACATGATTTCAGTGGTTCATGGACACTTTGAAAGCCTTACTGGGTCTCTGGACCCGTAGTAAGTAGCTTCTGCCATGTGCTCCTGTTTATCCATTCAACTTGCACTTGTTGCTTGCCAATAAGCAAATGCAGGGGATATTCATGCAACTGAGAGGTGGTTGCTGCCTGGAGGAGCTTGCAGCCTAGTGGAAGGAAGTGGTCTGGTACAGAAATACCTGCAACAGAGTCTTGTAGCTGTTTTGACAGGTGTCTTCACAAAGTCAGGCAGGTAAAGAGGTGAGGCCATCTTCTTAGCCACACATAATTTCCGAGTGTTAATGAGAAATCAGCTACACGCAGGAGAGTGAAGGTGCATGCCCTGGGTGTTTCAAGCCAGTAGTAATTACAGGCCTGCTGTGGTCCACCCCCCCGCCCCCGAGTGCTGCTGGGTAGATATAGCTTCTGCCCTCATGGAGCCTGCAGTCTTGTTGGAAGGCAGGTCTAGTGTGCATGAAGTTGTCCGTTAACAGCAGGGAGAGGAATGTGAGAAAGACTAGACGGACCAGGCAAACTCAGGAAGGAGAGAATGGCCTGTGATCCCTTGGGGAGTGTGTGTGTGTCTGTGTGTGTGTGGGGGGGTATTTTGTGGGGTTTGAGCTGGATGGAAGGGCATCTTTGGGGTGGGTGGGAGAGGGAACCCCATCAGCAAGACGTGGAGCTGGGCCGGAGCACGGTGGGGCATGAGGTGACTGGCCTGACCACAGCCGGCAGGTCTGGGCTGGGAGAAGCGGCGGTGAGACCGGCTGGGTGGGGCAATTATTAATTTCCTGGGGCTGCTCTTACAAAGCCCCACGGCCGGGTGGCTTGAACAGCAGGAGTTTGTCGTCTCAGTTCTGGAGGCCACAAGTCTGAGACAGCAGTGTTGGCAGGGTTGGTTCCTTCTGGGGGTTGTGACAAGATCTGTTCGGGCCCCTCTCCTAGCTTCTGGGAGTTCTGTAGCTTGTGGCAGTGGAACTCTATTTTCTGCATGGCATTCTCCCCCTGTGGGTGTCAGTCCCCAGATGCTCCCTTTTTATAGGGACACCAGTCATATTGGATTAGGGCTCAGCCTAATGACCTCATTTGAATTTGATTACCTCTGTGAGATCTATCCAAATAAGGTCTCATTTTGGGGTTCCAGGGGTTAGGTAGGAATTCCACATATGAATTTGGGGAGGTCACAATCCAACCCATAATAGGTGGGTGTCAGCCCCCAGTAGGCTTTGGCACCTGTCTGTGGGAGAGTGGAGACCCAGGGCTGGGGGACACGTCAGAGGGAAAAATGATAGTGAGAGGGTCAAGGGTCATGCCCAGGATGCTGGTGCTGGATGAGAAGCGTATAAACCTGGGAGCATTCAGGAGCTGAAGCCCTGCAGCCCCTGCCCCTCCAGTCCCCTCTCTCCACCTCCCAGAGGCCAGAGGACCTCCAAGTTCACCGGAACCTGGGGAGAACTCATCCAGCATCGAGAGCCCTCAGGACCCTGCACAGAAACGTCACCTGTGCTTTGGGAAGGGGTGTGGGGACATTGACCTACTTCCAAAGCCACCTTCCTGGAGCCTTGTTTCTCAGCATGTGGTAGAAGGACTCTGGCCATGGAGTGAATGCCTTGGCTGACTCTACCAGTAACATGCTGTACAATCTTGGGCAAGTCCCTTTGCCTCTCTGATCCCACTGGGCATAGAATGGATCATCTCTGAATGGGGAGGGAAGAAAGATGAAACAATGAATGACAGTGTCCTGGAAAGCATAAAGCTTGACACAGATGCAGGTGGCACTATTTTTCTTCTCTTTGTACTATTTTCTCTGGCTCAGAATTGCCACCCTCGGCAGCCCCTTTAGAACCACCCACACAAGAGCTGCCCACACCCTGCCATCACCCACCTCAGCCGCCCAGGCATCGGATATTTCCTGAGGCTCACCGGGCACAAGCACACGTCTTCCTTCTTTCGCCTTTCTTGTGAGACAGGGCAGTGGGCACCCTTACCTCTGCAGACAGTGCTTGTTTTAAGTTGTGTGGTAGGGATTTGAGGCATTTTGCAAAGCTCTGTTCTTTGAACATATTAGCCCAACTCTGGCTGGGTGGCTCAGTTGGTTGGAGCATTGTCCCATGCACCAAAATGTTGTGGGTTTGATTCCCACTCAAGGTGCGTATAAGAGGCAATGGATCGATGTTTCTCACATCAGTATTTCTCTCTCTCTCTCTTTCCCTCCCTCCCCCCTTTCCCTCTCTTCTCTCTCTCAAATTAATAAACATATCCTCAGGTGAGGATTGAAAAAAAAGAGAAGCAAATATTAGCCCATATCAGACTAGATGGGGCTGGGTTATGCTGCCTTAACAAACAGCACCCAAACCCCAGTGGCTTGAAACAATAAAGTTTTGTTTCTTGTTCATATTATGTGTTCATTGTGGGCTAGCCATGGCCTGCTCCTTCTCACCTTCACCCCAGGGCCCAGGCTAATGGAGCAGCAACTCTGCAATTTTGTTTGTTGCCATGGCAGGGAGAAGGAGCTCCAGCCAGCATTGAAGGCAGAGGGCCAGAGTATTTAGTGAGCTGTGGTAATGCTTAT